CTTCCATGGATCTTGTAAAATGGTCTTGGTTTATTCAGTGTCAGGAGGGACACGAGCCCTAGTGGCTTCCCACTGCCCAAGTCCCTGACTCTAGATGCACAGAGAGGAGTGGCCTGCCTAAGTTTCAGAAATGACCGAGAAGCCTCTGGAGCTCTTGGTGCAGACTGCGCTGCTGTGCCGCCGGGGCCAGGTGTCTTCAGAAAAAGAGGGAGGTTTAGAATACTTTCGTTATGCATGCATTGGTGCTGAGAACTCCCAGGGGCCTCAGTGCTCTTTCGGTCACCCTCGTGCACTCCTTGGGGAAGTCTTTGGTGCAGTGTGCCCAATCTCCCAACTTTGGGCTTCAAAAGTAAGATCACACTCGGAAACCCTACGGCTGCTGGGGAACCGCCCAAGCTTCCCAGGGAAGAATTTCCTGAAACCTTCATCTCTGGAGGAGAGGAAGGCTGGCGCTGAGCATGTTGCCATGAGTCACCTAGACACGACTGCCAGGGTTTGTGGGGTCTGGCCTGTGGGGTCGATAGGGTCACTTAGGGACCCTATGTATGAATGAGTCACACACGTCCTAAGCATCAGCTCAGTGGGTCTTCCCCCAGCTCATTAAACATGTGACTATACTCTATAGCCCTCTTCTTTGACCATGGTCCCACACCCACTGCCCTTCAGTCCTGACACTGACCACCCAGATCAGGTGTCGTCAGAAATAGATATTGCAGGGACCAGCAGTTAGCATAATGGCTATGTTGCTGAACTCCCATGTAGTTGGCCATGGTTCGAGTCCCGGACCGGTGGCTTAAGCTCACGCCAGGTGCATGTGCATGCGTGCCCAAGATCCCGAGAGGAGAATGGGGGAGAAGAGATTTCGGCGTGGCCATCTCCCCTGGGGGGTGATTTTTCTCTTTCTGTCTCTTTGTATTTCTGGCAAATGCACAAGTCCTATAGCAAAAACCTCTCCAAAAAATAAAAAAGATATTGCAGTGTCCTGAAGGTCTTTGCCTTCGGTTGATGAGGTTTGCTGCACGCTATTCCACAGAGAGGACGTGCGGTCATTATTATGCCACACACGTGCCATGGAGTGAGGGTGCCATGGTCTGTTCACGTGTCCTACTGGTGACGGCTTCTTGGAGCACTTCCAGTCTAGAGCTGACACAAATAATGCCGCGCCTCAATATAAACACCCACGCACGTATTTTCTCAGTGAGACACACACGTACACATTTCTTCTGGGCATATGGCTGAGGAGGAGATTGCTGGATCATAGCGCATGCATATATTCAGCATCAGCAGATGCTATCACACCATTTTCCAAAGTGCTTGTGACAAGGTTAGTTTTTCAGATTTTTCACACAGTGTGCATGTGCTCACCAGAGAGACTGAGAGAGGGAGAGAGAAGTCACCCCCCAGGGGGAAGGTCACTCCCCAACCCCCTCACCTCCATGTTCCTCTTTATGATCTTGGGCACACATGCACATGCAGTCAATGCGATCTCCAAGCCACCAGTCCTGGGACTTGAACCGTGTCAGCCATGTGAGAATCCAGTGCTTTAACCACCACACCACCTGGGGGCCCCACTTGTGCGAGTTTTTATTCCCACTATTGATGTCTGAGAATATGAGAGTGTTCTGGCCTCTTCATACAACTGCACACATTTGCTGACTTGTTTATTTTTAATTTCGAACATTGCACTTGTTATGTAGCAGTAGGTCATTAAGATTGTAATCTGCATTTCCTGATGACAAATGAGTTGTGTCTTTTTCTAAGTGTAATGGCCGCTTGGAAGGTTTCCTGTGACCCTGACTCTTTGAGTCTCCACTGTCTCTTTCTTTTTTCTTTTTTCTTTTTGGAGAGGTTTTTGCTATAGAGCATGTGCAACCACCAGAAAGACAGAGAGAGACAGAAAGTGAGAAATCACCTCCCGGAGGGATAGCCATGCCACAATCCCTTTTCTTCCATTCTCCTCTTGGAATCTTGGGCACACACGCACACATTCCTAACATGAGTTTAAGCTACCGAGTCCAGGACTCGAACCATGGTCGACTACATGGGAGTTCAGTAACATAGCCATTCCCATCATTTTGAATGAAGCATTCTACCATTTGCTGTTGAAGTCAAGGAGTTCTGGGTCAGTCTTTATCAAACATGCATCTCAAATACTTCTCCCAATCCGTGGCTTGCCTTTTCCCTTTTTTAATGGCAACATTTGAAAAATGGATTTTTTTTTTCTATTTTTGCTTCAGTGCTTTACCTACACAATGAAGAGATTGACATGTTTTTGTTTAACTTTCTAACTATGAGAGAAATAATACTATAACCCATATGAAGTATTTCAAGTGGTTTTTAAAAAAAGTCTCCAAAATAAATAAAGATTTCTCTATTCTGAGCCTGTGCGTGGTTCTTCCTTTCTTTGGCCGTCGGCTCCCAGGGGTCCCCGCCTTTCACTGCCGTCATCCTCCCTCTGACGCGCCCCGGCCTTGCTCATGCTCTCCTCTCATCCTCAGAGTTTGCATGAAGAAGGCTCTGACGGCCGCTTTCCCTCCCTGGGACAATGCAGAACGCTTCCATCGTGAGAAGAGCGGCAACCCTCATTGTGTGCAGCCCCTACAGGCAGCAGAGCGATCTCGAGTCTCCTTCTAGCACGTCTTGCTGTTCACATTTTAAGTTATTTACTTACCTACATAAATCATAGTAGAGGTATCATTTGTCTCTTGAGTATGTTTTATCATACACTCTTAAAAATGGATGTACGGCAAGAGCAATTTAATGTTTGTTTGGATTTTTCACAGACTCTCAGCAGGTTAAGAATCTGGAAGGATTTTTTTTAGAACTTCTCTGAGGTTAAAAAAAGAAAGCAACTTTTATAGCTCTGCAAAATAGGATTCCCTGCCTACCAGGAAACCTTCTTAGAACCTCCTGCAGTTTCTATGAGACGCTTTCTTCAGCTGCCCTTTACACTTGGAATACGTTCATTCTTTGCAGGCACAATTTATTTGTGGAAAATACATTTTAACTTTATGTTGTGTTTTTTACATTGTGTTTGACACCATTTTACGAGATGTTCTCATATAGACCTTTAATTTCATGAATTCTTATACAAATTAGTGGGCACTCTGCAGGCTGATCGTTTCTCTCTCCTGCCCCCACTGGCGGGGTTTCCACGGCCTGTTTCTGGAGGCTCTTTGCAGCCTGGAGACAGAGCCCTGCCATGGTCGCTGTGGCCAAAGTCGGGCCCTGGCCCGCTTCCTGCAGTTTATCACCAACTGCAGTCCTTGGCTGGAGTATCCCACCGCTGCTGCTAGACTGCAGTGCTGGGAGTCACAGAGCTGACATGGGTTCAGGTCCCAGGTCACCCTGGAAACACTCTGGGTGTGATCCCGAGGAGCCAGCGGGCTGGGGACAGAGAATCTCAGCTGAGAGATGCTGGCAGGGTGTTTTCTTCTCTCCCTGTCTTGGGCACTAACACGCTCTCTGTCAAACCACAATCACAATTCATGCAATGTAAACAGAGCATCACCACAGGTCTCCCCTGAGAAACAGTTTGGGGGGATTGGGGGACAGTGTTGAGGTTTCCTCCCATACAATTCCCCAGGTGTGTTTTTCTAAGGGGATCTATCTCAATTTTATTTAAAAATCTAATAATAAAGAAAAAGTTGTATGTGTACGCGTGTGTATGTGCTGTTATCTTTGTGTACTGTGTGAATGTGTGTATGTGTCTGCGCGTGTGTGTATATATATATTTATTTTTATTTATTTATTATTTTTTTGGAACAGCCCTTTCAGATTCCTCTGTTTCCAGCCTGGGAGAGGCAGGGCGGAGCCTCACAGACACACAGCAAAGATCCGCTCTTGGGTAAGATCAGCCCGACCCTCCACTGTGCTGCCTCCCAGGGGCTCTCAACAGCCCCTTCCTCTGAACTGCTGAAAAGACGCAGTCCCGGGCTGTCTCGCAGGCACTGAGTGGGGTCTGCTGCCCGGCTCTGTGGGACCACGGCTTCCCGAGGTCCTGCACGCCCGGACCCAAGAGGCGCACAGCGCAGCCGGGACAGGGAGCCGAGCTTGCCTGGGCCTGTCTGCGGATCCCGGCTTCCGACCTTCTGCAGTCAAGCTCTCTAGCTCGCCGCGCCCTGAAGTGCCCCCTCGCGGCCTGTAGGGGGTGCGAGAGGTCCACTGAATCCGGCCGCCGCCTCCGCGGTCGGGCTAGGGTGAACCGGTCTTTATCACTGGGCAGAGCTGGCTGGTCTAAGATCCAGCCCGGCGAGAAGGGGATCGAGTCGCCATGCCTCCTGACGGTGAAAGCCGCAGACTGGAGGCTGTGAGCGAGACTCGGGAAAGGAGCGGACCCCGCGGATGCCCTCCGCCCCTCCCGGGACAGCTCTCGGCAACAAGACCTCCTGCGCGTGAATGTGAATGCACGCGGGAGGCTCTCCTGCAAGGACACCTCGAAGAGACACAGCAGGGAAACTGTCTTCGTGGATAAGTGCCCTGGAGTTAGGTCTGAGCGGGGCTGCTTTTCCCAGTCGCTAACCCACACGCTTAGACCAGGTCATCCGTCCACCAGAGGAATCTCCTAGAGGGTCCACCGCCAGCTCCAGCCTTGCAGGCCACCCGGAGTGCCGTTCTGAGGCCACTTGCCTGCTTCCCAGAGCCAAGTGTCAGAGAAGCAGCTGCCCAGGCGGGTGGAAGGCGGTGCACGGGGAGCCCCCAGGCCTGGGCGGAGATCGTGCACCGCTGGCGGCCCAGGCCGGTGGGCCGAGCTCAGTGCGCCCTCGGCAGGAATCCTCGTGGTCCCCAGACACACGCCAGGCCGTGGGAAGCCTCAGCTTGGAGGGTGGCCACTCGACTCACTTGATCGCGGCTGGGATGGGTGCCCACGGCCTCAAGTGCTTGAGGAGATGAAGGCAGGCTTATCCCCTCAGTCCTCAGTACCAGGCAGGGGGTTATGGTCGGCAAGATTGCGCCGAAGTGTGGCGTTGTTTGTGACGTGGAATTAAGAACATTCGCAAAGACACTTAACTAATGCTTCCATCGGATTCTCAAAGAAACCAGGTCCTCAAGAAAAAGTAACTGTTTTAGAACCGTCTTCCCACCCCATGCCCAGAATAACCCTGAGGGGGCAGGAAATGGGTGGCAGTCACTGAGATTAGCCTTCAGCAGAAGGAGGTGACAGTGACATTTGTGGAGTGCCAGCAGGCTGCTGGGGACTCGGGTCTTGGGGGGGAGGGGGGGCGGCTGTGTAAAACGCAGGCATTTCTGTCCTGGCGGATTTTCCCAGAGAGTGCTGACAGCAAAACCAGTACAATGTACAATTAACCTCGTAAGCTGGTGGAGAAGCAGAGAAAGTAAGAACATCCTACCCGTCTCTTCCACAGGCCTGGGAGCAGAGACATGAAGGGGATGAGTGGGTGGGAAATTCGTTAGTTCCAGTTCCCTGGCCTCTGCTCTCTGCGCAGGGCAAGCGTGCCCGCTGCCCTGGCCCCTGCTCAGGGGGCTTCCTGGGTACAGACGGTATTTTAGGGTTCACGGCTGTCACTTTATGGGCTCTAATGGGCAGAAATGGGATTCTCTGCCCAGTGGCCCTGCTCTGTCATAGGAAGGTGACCCCTTCACTGTGTCCAATCAACGAACTGACACGTGGAAAGTAATGCCTTCACCTGGGAAATTTTCTTTATACTTTTCATAATCTACAGAATCATTGATTCTGAGGGGACTCTCTGCATCATACTGACATTCTTTTCCCAACCTAATGGTTTCTCTTATTATCTGAGAGGCTCTGGACTGAGTGCTGTTACTTTAACCCCTCCGCCGCTTCTGAGTCCCAGCAGCCCCAGCTGTCTGCCAGCAGCATACCCAGCAGGCCAGGCCCTGGGCTGCCCCCGCCCAGGGGAGAGGGCAGGGCAGAGGCACTGGCCAGGGGAGAAAGCCACTGCAACGCGGTCGGGAAAGGGCGCAGGGCTTGCCATTCCACTGCTCTGACGTCTTAAGCCGGCATTTAAATGGATGTCTGTCCCTTTGGGAGCCCCCAAGCCAGGCGGCTTACATGGCATGTTTAGAGACGGCTGCAGCAGGTCCAGCAGGCATGGGGTTTACCTACTTTCCATAGATAGGTCCTTGAACTCACCTTTATTTCGATAACATTTTTATCCTTAGGTAACATGAAGATCCAAATGGCCCATTAATATTTAAGATGGTGCATGCTGGCCCTGTAAGGTATTAGGATTGAGCTTTTGTTTTCTAATTTATTTTTTAGAGAGCAATTTTGCTGTAGAACACAGGCATTGACTGGAGAGACAGAGAGAGACAAAGAGATAGTGAGAAATCACTCCCCAGGAGGGATGGCCACACAGAAAATCCCTTCTCCTCCACTCTTCTCTCGGGTTCTTGGGCATGCACGCACACATGCACGACATGAGTTTTTAAGTCACCGGGTCCGGGACTCAAACCACAGTTAACTACATGGGAGTCCAGCAACATAAGCATTGGGCTATCTGTTGGATCCTGTTTTCTAATTCTTCTTCAAGTTTAAATTGTCATTTTAAACCCCTGTGAGATACTTTTTCAGTCTTTAACGAAAAATTCTTATTAAACCAACAATAGGTTATTAAGGAAAAATCATTAGTAGTAGTATAATTTCTTTTAATTTCTAATTATACTAAATAATTTTTATTTTCTAATGTGTCTGCCAGCATCACTCATGACGTGCATAGTCAGCTATCACACAGCTGCAACGTGTTACCCTAACTGCGTAATTGGCTAGGCAGTTGCTCGAAACTGAACTCTACAACCATTCTTCAAATGCAGGGTCACTATGCTCCCTGAAAATAAGCTGATTAAAGTTTGCAAATATTTTGCCACTGCTTTGAAACGTTTTATAGTTTGCTAAAATTATTTGCAAATAGTTTGCAGTATGAAAGAGGAGAAAGAAGAGGAATAAAGCAGAAAAAAGAGAATTAGACAAAGGAGAACAGAGGTGATGGTGAAAGGAACAGAGGCGTCTTCAGGGACAGAACCAAGTGCCTGATGACCCGGGGAGCACTGTACGCCTTCTCCTTCAGACCGCTTAACCGAAATATCGCAGGACATAGAATACAGGGCCATTATGCTCTAACAAGGAAAAAAGTAGGCTTTTTGCCACTTTAAGTAGGAAAAATAAAATGAAAGAACCTAGACATGCTTGATGGGAATGCAAAGCTGAGCCAGTAGACTCTACAGAGACCCGCACAGGGCAGAGGTGAGGCTGGGAGAGCACCCTGGCATCATGTGTGCACCTCAAACATGAGCAGAGAGGTGACTGAGGCCACTGGCCAGGGGTGGGGTGACAAGCACCTGCATACATCCGCTTCGGAATCCGCCCATGTGCAAAATCAACACAGATGGGTCGGGAGATGGGCTGAACGTCTACACCTCCCGTTCCGTTTGTCTTCATGACTAGATGGGCTGTCCTCACGGCGCAGCTCCGTGGGCCCAAGGTTAGCCCTTGGGGCAGTCTGAACGGAGTGCCGCCTGCCAAGTCATCTTAAACAATGACAATTCAGCCTCTCAGTTCTGGGAGCCAGAAGTCCAACTTCCAGGCGGTGTCAGTCCAAGCACTCTGCAGCCTCCCAGGAGACTGGGTTCCAGGGTTCCCTCCGTGGCTGCTGGTTGCCAGCGGTCCTTAGCACTCCTGGGCTTACCGACATCACTTCAGGCTCCACCACACCCTCAGTGGCTTCTCCCTAAACCTGTGTCTGCACTCACTCCTCGTCTTAGAAGGACACCAGGCATGTGGGATTTGGTCCAGACTGCTGACGCTATCTCAGGCTGATGTCACCTGCACAGATCCTATTCCCAAATCAATCTCCAGTCATGGGCCCCTGGGGCTAGGGGGGTCGACGTACACTTGGGGACACAAGTCCACCCATAACCAGCAGTCCTTGACTTTAGAAATGGCAGCAGTGGCTACACCAGGCCTTGCTGAGCCTTCTCAGGGCAGTGTCTGCCCTCCCCACTGCCCTGTCCACTCCTGACCTGCTGGCATCCACTCTGCTCCGGAGTGCACTGGGTCAGCCCCCATAGTGACCCCAGAGTCAGAAGCAGCTCTCAAAGGAGAAGAAAGAACAGTGCGTCTGAGGATGCAGATGCCAATTCTGATTCGCTATCACTTCCGGTTTAAAGAAAACTCAACTAAATCTGAAGACATTTAAGATTTATGTTATCCAGTTAAATTCTGTATTCTTAACACAATGCTTTATTATCCTAATAAGAATGTTTTGGGGCCACCAGATGGCATGGTGGTTGAGGAGGCTGGATTCCACATGGCTGAGTCCTGTACTGAGCGCCTTGAAAAACACGCTGGCCACGTGTGTGTGTGTGCCCAAAACTGAGAAGAGAATGGAGAAGGGATTGCAGTTTGGCCATTCACCTTGAAAGGTGACTTCTCACTTTCCTTCTCTCTGACTCTCTCTCTCTCTCTGTGGTGAGCACATGCATCCTGTAGTGAAAATCTAAAAGTAGTAATAATCGTTTCTACCACAAAGAAATCCTAAGTAGTAGCTAATCTTAAAAGATGTGGACTTCTTGAAATGAGTGCTGATGAAATAATCAAAGGTAAAATAAAGGTGCATTTTCAAGGATAGCAGAGGGTCATTACCTACGATAAAACGTTTTGAATACATCCATATCCGGTACCGAAGTGGCGGCTACATACCCTCAGTCCACTCGCGGAGGGGATTCTGTTCAGGAGCTGAAAGGCAGAGGGAGAGGCCTCACAGTACAAAGACATAAGGCCTTAGGAAAATCCGGGTGCAGACTTTCAGACATGTATACCCAAGAATCAACATATCCTCCAAATTAATTGAGTCATTTTCTTGATAATGTAGTTACAGTTAATTTTTATTTCTTGTATTTTTTTTTAAATCCTCCAGCTACTCCATAACGAAAACACATCACACTATGCCAGAGTTAAGCTTAGTCAGGAAGACTGGACGAGGGGTGAGAGACCTGCTCAGGATGGAGCTAAGGAAAGAAACCAACCAGCATCATTGAGGGACTGGATCACGAGGGCATCTGGAGAGAGGCCAAGGTACCATCTTGGGGAGAGCAGAGGTGCCTGTCAGATTGGCTGGCTTCGCCTTTCTCTCATTTTCCAATGATTGGTGGAAGTAATCTTCCTGCTGGAAGATTAGAAGGGAAAACTTTGGCAAAGCAGAAATAAATATTTTAACCATAACACTGAATTACAGAGAAGACTAAAGCACAAAGAAAATCCTAAGTGCCATGACTGTAATAAAAAAGAATAATTAACAATCAGAGAGGAAGCTTCCATCTTTGTCTCTGATGATGCAAAAAGGAACTGAAAGAATTGCTTACCCAACTGTTAAATCAACCTAAATTGTTTTTAATTATAGATCTCATCTTATGACAACTTCTAACTTTTGATTTCTAGTGCACCATAAGGAGAAGATGAAGATGCTTTCCCTCCATCTGTTTTCATGCTATCAAACAACACGCTTAATGGAAATTGCCTTAAAGCTTCCCACCGAATATTCTTCTTCTTGGGCTGTACTCTGAAATTATCTGTGAATTTCCAAGGAACATTTGAGTTAAATTCGAATAAAAATTTAACAGCCTCATGATGGCAGTCGGGGAGGGAAGTGATCTACAACATATATTTGCCAACAATCCTAATTGTGAGACACTTCCAGGTCTGCATCCTTAGACTCACAGGAGCCTCTGCAAGCCCTCTGATGGTAACTGGTGTGCAAGCAGCAGCACATCGTCTGTGCATTCAGCACACTTTCACTGAGGCTCTCCTTGGTGCCAGACACTGCTCTAGATGCTGAATATCCATCACGAGCCACCAAAGATCCCTGAGACCCAGAGATTAAACTCTGCTCAGTCAGAGAAGATGGGGATAAATTTACTAATTTAATGGTTTTTTTTTATTAGCTGCCATTAATATTGCATTGTGTCAAATATGCCTAAACAGATGAAATACAAAGGGAAACAAAGGGTAAGAGGACCTGGTTCTCAGTCTTGAGGCAAGCGCAAGGTTTGGATATGTAACAAGGAAAAGACAATTCAGGAGAGTGAGGTGTTAGCATCTTCTGTTCTAAGAGACAGAGAGAGAAACATTACACCAGGTTTCACCTTTATCACACTCGGCTCCTTCCTCCACAGGGGACTTCAGTTTAAATGTTGGTTCCCAGATAAAAATTATGCGGGTTTTCTTAACTGAGGTATATCAACTTACTGTGAAGTAATAGATAGATCAGAAATGTGTCCACTGGCTGGGAATGCATAGGAAATCATTCACAGGACAGGCACAATGGTCCCCCAAACCTTCTGCATTCCCCTCACATCTCCTTCTTTGAGGTCCACTATGCCCCGGACTCTTCCTAGCA